TGTCTTATTCCTATTATACAATGGTGATAATATTGTGTAAAGAAGAGAAGAGGAAGACAAATGTCTAATGATTTTATTTAAATATTTTAGTATAATCCAGTATTTTTAGATTAGAACTTCTTGAAATAATTCTAAATCTCATTCAGACATTTTGGCTAAGTCAGAACAATGGGCCTGTTGACATTTTGCCCATACTCTCATCTTTAATTTCTCAGCCTTCAAGCAACAATTAATCTTACTTTATCGGGTTCCCATATGCAAAAGGTATTTTTATGTTTAGGCTAATAGAAATAGAAATCCACTGAATCAACCTAGGAAGTCATGAGTGATTGACAAGGAGTCAATTTGCACAGGGATTTGAATGAGAGCTAATGGATACAATTTTCCTCTGATTTTTAAAGTTTCTCCTATTTCTGCTAATGACTGGACTAGTAGTGTACAGAATAGAATGACAAATATTGACCAGCAATGCATCAACAATAAAGTAATAAGTATATGCATTCAAAAGACTTTGGACTACATGAACATTCTTGTAAGTGCTAACACTGTCAATACCTTATCTTATTTAAGTAGCACTTATCTAGAATGAATTTTATTTTTAATGAATGAGAAATGGAGAAATACAGTACAGGTAGTCCTTGATTTATGATCACAATTGAGCCCAAAATTTCTGTTGCTGAGTGAAACATTGGTTAAGTGAATTTTGCCTCATTTTATGATCTTTCTTGCCACAGTTGTTAAGTGAATCACCACAATTGGGAAAACAGTAACATGGCTGTTAAGTGAATCTGGCTTCCCCATTGACTTTGCTTGTCAGAAGGTCACAAAAGGTGATAACATGACCCCAGGGCAGCACAACCATCATAAATATGAGTCAGTTGCCAAGTGTCTGAATTTTGATCACATGATCATGGAGATGCTCCAATGGTCGTAAGTGTGAAAAACAGTCATAAGTCACTTTTTCAATGCTGTTCTAACCTGAAATGGTCACTAAATGGACTGTTGTAAGTTGAGGACTAGCTGTAATTAGAATTTCCATTGAATAGTAATATTTCTTGTCCCCAAATATTTGTCTTTTTTTTAAAAAAATACATCAAATCTATAGGATTCTGTAATTAATCCTTCTTTAAATAAAGCTCATTGTTTTGAATCTTCTGAGAGTACATGAAAAAAGTTTTATCTCACCTTTCATTTTGATCATGTTACATATACTGGTAATGTTAAAAACAACTACCAAGTGCCAATGGCCCAAATATTATTTTAATTTCCTGTGTTGTTTTTGTCAAATCACTAACAACTATTTACTTTTAGGCATTGTTTGGCTGTTGGCTGCTGCTGTTGGTTCACCAATGTGGCATGTACAAAGAGTGGAGGTATGGTTGTGTTGTACACTTGCACTTATTCAGGCTAGTAATTTGGGATGTTTTGTGTAATATGGTTTAGGAGCTGAATATAATCTGTAATAAAAATGTAAGGATCACTTTTCATGTCTGCAGGATTTGATAAATGTCAAAAAGTAGAGTGATTGAAACTCTACCTTTATAAAAATATGCATCACTTGTGCAACACCATAAAAATGGACTGAGTTTTGACCTCAGCATGACGGCCATCATCTTGACTTTTCTGACTATATGCTGCAGACACTCCTGCTTTGTAGCACATAGTTAGAAATAGCATTTATGATAATTATACATTGAATTTCTGCAATATAAATCAAGTCAGTTGATGGAAATCATAGTATCACATAGACAAATTTAATTGGATTGGAAATATACACAGGTAATCCTCATTTAGCGATTGCCTCATTTAGTGACTGTTTACAGTTATGATGGTGATGAAAGTAAATTTACAACCATTTTTCATATTTATGACCTTCACAGTTCTATAAAGCAAAGTAAAGCTGAAGTCAGATCATGAGCACAGTTGTGGTTTCACTTAGTAAAAGCTTGCTGGTCCCAATTGCAGTTGCTAAATGAGGACTACCTCACATATGCAGATTATACACAGAGTAAAAAAGCCATTTTTGGTCATAAAAGTACAGTTTTCTACAGATAAACCAGGTTTGCTTATTAAGTACAAAATGGGTGGCATGCATGCTTATTCCCTTGTTTTTTATTGATATGTATAGATAAGTAGTCCAAGCTTGGAGATTTAATATGAGATCCACATTTAGAGTTATAGTTTCCTATGGATGAACGTTCCATCTTTGGTCATTTTTTCTTACAGATAATATATTAAAAAAGGAATCTGTACTAACCTCTGCTTACTGTGTTTCAGAATAAATATGACTTCCTTTATGAAAAGAAATATGTTTGCTGCTTGGAAGAATGGCCAAGTCCTGTCCACCAAAAAATTTATGCCACTTTCATTTTGGTCATTCTTTTTCTTCTCCCATTGATGCTGATGATGTTGCTGTATAGCAAGATTGGTTATGAGCTCTGGGTTAAAAAAAGAGTTGGAGATGCTTCTGTTCTCAAGAGCATTCATGCAAATGAGATGTCTAAAATTTCTCGGTTAGCATATATAATTTTATCTATATCATTTTGCTATGTTAAAAAAGTTTATTATATTGCTTCCTGTAATTTTAATATCATTTTTATATTATGTCTTATAAATTAATATTTTCCTATTCCCTTTGTCTATTCTTTAAAAACATCAGTGAGCTTATGGACATTGAATATTTGCTAAAAAAGTTTTCCCTGAAGTCTAATTTTAGGGATTTATTTTTTGAATGAAGCTTTATAGAACAAAACTACATGTAACTAACAAATATACCTGGAAAATTACTTAAGACATAATTAGATGTGAAGAAGAGCATTCCAATAAAGCACTGAGGGATTCTTCCGTTTGTTATTTGCAATGTCTTGGTCATTTATATTATGATGTTCTTTTATATTAGTATGCTCACTCCAGCTTCATGGATTGAAGAGTTGCAAGTCAAAATTCTGGGAAGGAGGGAGATAGGGAGATAGTATGGGTATAGGTGTGGATATTTAAGTGAAAATCCAATTATTCCAGTTCAGATCTCCATAGATGTCCTTCCAAAATGTTTTCAGAGTTCATAGAGCCTTATAAAGATTGTTTAAATTCCAGTATCAGATTAAATTATAGCTTAAATAAGCTGTGATGACTGGGCTCATGCACTGTGTGGATCCATAAATTATAATTTACAAATCAAAGTATCTGGATTTGTACAAAAGCCAAAATATTGCCCCGCAAACTATTTTATGACTTAACGTGTGAATCCATCTCTTAATTACTTCTACTATTCATTTCAAAATGGCAGGATTTTGTTTATTATCCTACGTTGAATTATCCTGTACTATAATATCCTCAATACCATCTGCTTAAGATTTCCTGTAGACACTGCTACATCCATTACCAGCCTGTTGTTCTATAAGATTCAATGGACAGGGCTTTCTCCTTGTTCCAGTAGCTACATAGCATGACTGGTGAAAACAGATCAAGGGCTTTCTCAATGGCCATGGCACTTTAGGAGACCAGGATAAAACTGTCTCTAGCAGTTGGCCTGCCTAGTTTATTTACTTATTACATTTGTATTTTACCTTCTGGGAGCTCAAAAAGTAGATTTTTGCCCATCTTTTATCCCACTCATACCTCTGAAAGGTACCATGTGCTAAAAGAGAATGATTGAACTAAAGTCATATTGTGACACTATGACTGATTGAGAACTTTACCTGGATTCCCAAAATTCATGTTCCATCTTTTAGCTCCTAATTTACGTAGTTTCGTAAATGAATAAATATAAGCCATGAGGTCTAAATAATGGTGGTGGTAAAATCATACCATTAAACTATTTTAATTTTGGATTGCCATATTGCCTGCCTTCCTGTTTAGAGAATGTTCTCAAGAAGGACAGTATATAATTTATTTTAAAAATAAAATATTAAACATTTAACTAGATATATGAAAATAGGATGCTCTCCATGCAAAGTATCTTCCTTCTTACTGAGATCTAGTTTTTCCTCCTACAAATTATTTGTATTGTCTTCTATCAAAATGCTTTCGATCAACAGTCCAAACTATCTCTCTTTTCAGAAAAAAGAAGCGAGCAATCATGATGATGGTGACTGTTGTGGTTTTGTTTGCTATTTGTTGGACACCTTTCCATGTAATGCACATGTTGATAGAATACAGTGAGTAGTTTGTTTTTATTAAATAGTAGCAGAGAGAGGATTATTTTGTTTAAAGAAAACAAACAAGACAATATATTAAATTACACTAGAATATTGAATTTTATAATTTTATAATAAATGTATTTCAATAAAGACAATTTTTCATGTTTACTGGGATGTATGAGTCAAGCATAATACAATTTAATAAATAAGTAGTTCCCTGCAATCTATTATTAAAAGCGTCTTATTTATATATAAAAGCTATTTATGTTTGAATATATATATCTATACACATAGAGAATGTGGAAAGTTGCCTAAGGGATTTCTGCCTAATAATGATAGTGAAAGAATATGATTCATATTGTGGCTGTTTTCAGGATACCAGAATTAAAAAAATATTGAAATATTGTATATGGCAATCATATTTTAATTGTTTCATTTGATTAAATGTATATATATTTAAAACAGCATTTAAATTCCTGTTGACAAATGCCTATCAATGTGAATATTTTACTAGGCAATGCTTGATCTTTAGTTTTATGCCTCCCTTTCTAGTGAACAAATTTAGTTATAAGTAATGNCCAGAATTAAAAAAATATTGAAATATTGTATATGGCAATCATATTTTAATTGTTTCATTTGATTAAATGTATATATATTTAAAACAGCATTTAAATTCCTGTTGACAAATGCCTATCAATGTGAATATTTTACTAGGCAATGCTTGATCTTTAGTTTTATGCCTCCCTTTCTAGTGAACAAATTTAGTTATAAGTAATGAAAGATCAATAGTGCAGTTTTATACATATCATAAATGAAGTAAATAATGTAGGTGGATAAATAGACTTTTTCTATCATAGGTGTAAGAGAGCAAGTTTGGTGTAGTTGTTAAGGCATTAAATTAGAAACTGGAAGATCATAAGTTCTAGTCCTGCCTTAGGAACTAAGCTAGTGGATGATCTTGAGCCAGTCACTCTCTGTTAACCTTAGCAAGGAGACAGTGGCAAACTACTTCTGAAAAAATCTTGCCAAGAAAACTGTAGGAACTTGTTCAGGCAATCTCCAGGAGTCAAAAGTTTACTTGAAAGCACACAAACACACAAAAACATAGGCATATGCTTGTTTGTTTGTAAGGCATGACCAGTTTATTAGTCATCAGCTTAGGTTATTCACTATAAATTATGCATTTGTTATGTATATGGCAAATAAAATTTTAATAGCATGCTTCTTAATGAATTTTGTGAACATGTCTTATAATTAATTTGGTATAAATTTCATTCTGGAGTAATTGGTTTTTTATTTCTATGGTTCAGATACATAATGAGATAAATGATTGAATAGATAATTCATGTACCATTGAAGAGATGCTTAAACATATTTTTCTCTGTGCAGGTAATTTTGAAAGCGAATATGATGATGTCACTATTAAGATGATATTTGGAATTGTTCAGGTAATTGGATTTGCTAATTCTATTTGCAATCCAATTGTATATGCCTTTATGAATGAGAACTTCAAGAAGAACTTTCTTTCTGCCATTTGCTTTTGCATTATGAAAGAAAACTTGTCTCCATTCAGACAACACAAAAACTTGAAAATCACAGTGATGCAGCATGAGGAAGGGGTCTGTAGAAGAGAGTTGGTCTCCCTGGAAGAGACTAGAAGAGAAGCATTCAGTGAAGGGAACATTGAAGTAAAATTCTGTGATCGATCCTTTCCTAAAAAAACCTCCGGAAGACACCTCGCTTTGTCCTCATCAGAATTCACTGGGCACACGTCTCTGGAATCCTAGCAAAAATAGATCTTTCTGTTCCAATATTTGATAATGGTTTTTCAAATGTTATATTTAAAATGCTTTGCTAAATATGCATAATATGAAGATGTTTTGTGTCTGCCTCAACTGAGACTGCTATATCAGTTATAGGTATGGCCATCAGTGCATAAGGCAAATAGCCCACAATGGTTGATATTCATTGCCTGAGATTGTTTTCTTTTTCCATTTGTTTTTTAAAAGATTTATGTTGCTTTCTCTTCTGTTTTATTGTGTGTTCATTTGCTAGATGAACTGTATTTGGACTATGTGTTGCCTTATTGCCAATCAGTGTATATAACAGAACAAATTGCAAAGAAACATATGATCATAGATCATAGTTATGAAACTATTTGATATCCTAACAGTCAGTATTTGGTTATTTTTTAAATGAATGTTATTTAATTATCGAATGTTTCCATCTTGAATAACAAAGAAAAACAACTGGAAACTGCATCCTCTATGGAAGGAGTGCAGAGATGCATTTCTTTAAGCAACCTTAAAACCAATTCAGAAATCTTTCTTTGATTTCAGTGAATCTGAATATCAGCTATTAATTAAACACCACATAACATAGTTGATATGGTGAAGTCAGTGTTAGTCTGATAAGGAATAAAAACTAATAGCACTGGCTTTCCAAGACACACAACAATGTTGACTAAAAGCAATTCAGGATCTGGCGTGGCAGATCTTCTCAACAGATTAGATTGCAAATACTTTTCTCCAAAAGTAAAGAAATTTGACAGTAAAAGCACATAAATGCTAATAAGTAGCAAAGTTACCACTTACCCTTCAGTGCTGAATTACTGCTATTGGCATAATCAGCTTTGAATTGTTATTTCACCCAAAAATAAATGCTGGAGGAGCAGGAAGATTTGCATTTGCTGCAAAATGAAAAGGCAGCTTGCCAGCACAGCAAAACTATTTCTATTGTCCATAGACAAGGATGAATGTACAAATAGCCTGCAACTGAATTCTGATTTCAAAATATCCACTAGCTGATTTGTTTCTTTTTGTTAGAAATTTGTTGCAAAATAGCAGATATAATGTAAAAATGCTTCATGATAGTTTCTCCCCCTCTCTTATCTATGAAAGGGTATGTGTTAGCATACTTGTTTTTATAAGCTAGAGACATAAACTATCACAAGAGCGTTTGGACACCAAAAGCACATAATTCCTGTCACTGTTGTCCTGTCACTGTTGTCCAGTGACCACTCAATAGAGTTTCTGCTCTTTACCTTATGGAAGTAGCATTAGTGAGTTAGTTTGTACTTATTAGATGAAATTGCATCTGAATAATTGCAGCCCTTGCTCTTTAGTCATTAGTGTAATCCAAGATCTATTGACAACAATCTTTGTAGATTTATTTTATTATATTTATGTGATGCCATCTTGTCTAGAGGTGAGGAGTAGTTAGATATGTAAATAAATATACTGTAAATATATAACCCCTATTTATAAACTACTTAATTGTTTTTTCTTCTTTGTTTAGCATCTAGATTTATCACTAATTTGGGTAAAGTCAAGTTTGGTTATTTTGTAACTTTCTACTTTAAAGATGCTAGAGTACGAACAGATGTTTAGCTTGATCAGCACTTTAGTTTTTTATATTAACAACGCCGCTCTACTATGTTTGATCCCCATCTTTGCTTAATGGAGACAAATAATAGTTTGTAACTTTTTATCAATAGGAAAATGGTACCTTTCTGCTTAACCAGAAAGCCTAATGAAACATGTAATTTTTTCTATTCAATTCTGAAAGGTTTCTAAAGCTAAAGTTACATCTAAAATATTTGTAAAAAGATGTTATCAATGCCATCTATAATTTTAAAAATAATAAAGTAGAATTTTATCTTTAATGGATGCTTCTGTAAAATGAACTGCTTTCATGCTTTTATAATGCAAGTTCCACTCCTTTTGTATGAGTGAAGAATGTTAATGATGGATCTACAAAATGGATAGAATTTGCATTGTATCAGCACCTTAAAATTGCTTTTATCATTTCCCTCCTCCAGGAAGATGACACTGCT